CAAGCTGTTCTCTGACCTGCTGGCCTATAGAACATTTTTTTTCCTTATGTTATAAAGATGAGTAGAGGGGAAGGTGTTTTATAGTCCAACACAGGAGAGCCCAGTCAGGACTGACAACACTGCTTCAGATTTCATTAACGCAGAGGTACTGTTGTGTTGACAGCATCAAACAGGAAGATGGGAGGTCACTGGATTTCTGACAGGTTCAGTAGGAATTTTTCTGTACTTGTTGGATGTTTAAATATATAAAATAGAAAAAATGTGCATGTATTGCACACATACTAAATACATTTTTTTTTGCCCAGATACACACTTTGAAGAACTCTGGAAAAAGTAATTTTTTTAAAATCTGCTAGCATGCAAGGAGTAAATTACAGTGAGATGTATGCCACTCCCTGGATCTCTCTCTTATTTTTACAATTTACTGCTTCACTGAGCACTAACAGAATAGCTATGACTTCCGGTGCTCCAATGCCCCAGCTACGGGTATCCTACACAGCAGCTGCACTGACCATCCCTCCTCTCCCCTTGCCCAATCCCAGAATGCTTTGCTTGTGAACCCATTTGCCAAACCCAAAGACAGCTGAAACCCTTTCCTTGGATCCCCCTAGTCCCGTAATCTTCCAGTGCAACGGAGGTTAACAAAGGCACCTGTGATATGAGCTCATCAAGAGTGCTGACTATGCCCGCTCTTTCTGCCCTCCCTCCTCTATTCATAGAGGCGATACTATAGCTATTAATAATTAGTGATCTATGAATAGAGGAGGCAGATCTTTCATTCATTCTCCCCATCCTCCATTTATAAAATCTATCATGGAAGAGAGAAGAAAGGACGGGCATAGTCTGCAAGCTTGAGAAGTGCACGACAGGTTTCTCAGCTCTATTAACCCCCGCTGCACTGCAAGGTTACAGTGATGGGGGGATCGATGGAGGCAGGATTCAATTAAAGCAAGCAGCAAAAAAAGACACATTGTAATGATAGTAAGTGATTTTTTTTTTTTTTTTACTAAACTAAGGCTTTAAGTAGATTGTAAATGCTTATTTCCTGGAATACTTCTTTAAGACAGCTGGGATATATAGGATAACTTACCCTGTCCCTATCACATCTGCAATCTAAAATATTTAAATCATCAGGTGTTATCCTAATGAGAGAGTATAGTACTTCCTAATTATGACACTGATGTCATACTAGTGATACAAGTCTATGTACAGATTGTCAGCATTTTATTTTATCATAAAACAGATCATAACCTAGAAAATGATATGCACAATGCCACTGCCCACATTTCTTAGATTGTGAGATGACTTCTAGGAATGAGAGAGGGGGACGCATGCAAACAATATAGCACGGGTAAAGTCAGCTGGGAATTCCATTTGGCTAAATTAATTTCTATTAAAGTGTATTCAAAAACACCAATAAACGAAGTCAAAGATCTTTTTTTTTTCCTTTGTGCTGTAGTTTCCATAACTAATCTACAGCTCTCAATCTTGGGTGGGAATAGAGAATCTATCTAGACGGCCTGTTTACATAAGAGGAGGGTGTTCCTAGCTATTCGCAAGAAAAATACCACAAGGCTTGTTAAACTTCCTTTAACAAACAAGATACGCAGACAGAATAGGCAGTAGATTTTTCAATATCTAGTTAAAGCCTACTTTCACAAAACTTTAGTAGCTTAAGGGTAGCCATGCATGGATTGAAACTCAACTGGTTTAGAAGAGACCAGACAAATTTCGATCGATGTATGGGAAAAGCCAGTTGTACAGAAGTCGATCTACTTCTGTATAAACAGCCTGTCTGTTTTTTCCTCGATCAGTGTTGCTGGCTATAGCTGGCAGCACTGATCAGTGTATTCTGACAGTGGGGAAGTCTCATCCCTGTCAAGCTACAATAGCACAGCAGGAGTGATTCCCCCATCCATACATTTCGAATCGGGTAATTTTTTTCACTCAACCTGCTGGCTGAACGAAAAAAAAAATTAAATGATGTAAGTCTAGCGTAAAAGGCAGCCATTGAATAATTTAATAAAAATACATTTAGAAAGCTAATTTATAGAATGAGACAAGGGAATACATTTGCATTTTCAACAGGTGTCGTCAAACTCTATCCCTATACCAGGATGGCAGCATCTGTATGAAAGATTTAAGTCACTCAATTTTCCTTGAGTAGGATACACCCAGGGCCAGCAGCCAACCAATACATGTTTATCACCTAACAGGTACTTCTGCACCATTTCTTTGTCAAGCTGCAATTTGTAATATAACATTGTGGTATTCCGTAGCTTACATATCTTTCTGTACTTGTATGAAAAACATTGAGTAGACCAAAAGGAGTTGCGCACTGTACTAGCCAGCCATGTTGATATATTTAGTTTCCTTCAAAGGCCAAATAGGAATTTCTAATGAACTCTCAGAGTTGGCACCAAGTTTGTTCATTCCTTTCCCACCTGAAACACGTCCTAACAAAAAATTTCCCCCAAATCTACTCCTTTCCTCTAGGAGCTCTATTTTCCTGCCACAAACCAAAAACAGTCTTTATATTAACTGCAGCATAGTGGCTCAGTGGGTAACATTTCTGCCTTGCAGCACTGGGGTTCTTGGTTTTCATTTGTGTTCCAACCAGGATGCTATATGCATGGAGTTTATTCTCCTTGTGCTTGTGTTGGTTTCCTCCCACAATTCTTAGACTTGCTGGTAAGTCAATTGGTTCCTGTCCAAATTGTCCCTAATATATGTGTGCATGTGTGTATGCACGAGAGATAAGGAACGCAGAATATGTAAAGCACAGTTAAATTGTCAGTGCTTTATAAATGCCTGTAATAAAGAAATAAAATACGGTTATATGATGAAACGGATTGTGGTGTAGATAGGTGCACTTATGTAACTGTAGTGAGGATGTTGGATTTCAAAGATTCATTCCAGATATGGCAATCTTTACATAGTTACCAGTTTGGACCAATGTAAGTGTGTGCCATACCTGGGGATCCCCATGGAAGCTGGAAATCACTGTAGTAGTCACCATTACTACAAGCATCTCCATGAAGACAGGAGGTCACTCGCTCCACACAATTGCCATACAGGGAACAATATTAATTGTCTTAATTAATGCAAAGTGTTCTCTGATTGTACGAGGAAGAGAGTCAGGTCAGTGATGTCACAATCTCCCACTCGTGCAATCAGAACATTTTGCATTCATTGAGAAAATGGAAAGTATACTTTGAATGGAGGCTGTACCAGGCAGGAGACCTCCTGTGTCAGTAAGTAGCAGTGCAGCCACTCTGCAAGGGACCTCAAAGCTAGCAGCAATTACTGGAGTAAAGTTCCAGCTTCCAGGGGAATCCCACAGATAAAACACATACAAACTTCAGCATGAAGGTTCTCTGCAGAAAGGACTGAACTGATGGTTCTTTTGTAAAGCACAAATTGTGTTGGCACCATATCAACACAGAGATTGGCCAATTATTACATATATTATTACAATTCACATACCATATTTAGACTTAAAGTAGGAGTAAACTCCCTTTTTTGTTTTGTACCTACAGGTAAGCCTATAATAAAAAGGGGAGAGGACAGGCGCATGGAATAAGCAGTCCGCATAGTCTCTAGGCTGAATGTGGGATCAGGAGTTGGCGGAGGAACAAACGGTCTGAGACACCCGGTGAGCTGTGGTAGAGTGAATGAGAATAGAAACACAGCGCCTCTGTGTTGACTGTAGGATATTTTTCTTTAACAAACCAAGCTGTCCTGCAAAAGAGGCAGTTAGAGGGTAGAGACAAACCATTAAAGTAGAATTCCAGCCTTCTAATCTTCATACACCCACGCTACAGATCTTGTCCAGGGTCTCTGCTCCACGCATCCCTCTCTATTTCAGAGTCTCCTGTCAGGACTTGTGTCATCACCTGGGTCATCTGATGTTGGCATCCACTAGTGGCCACTGGAACTGCTCCCTTTGACTTTGGGATCAACAGTATCAACAGTGCCAACAGTAGGTGACCCAGGTGATGACACAAGTCCTGACAGGAGACCCTGAAAAGAGAGAAGGATGTGTAGAACGGAGACCCAGGACTAAGAGAGGGGTGCGTGGAGCAGAGACCCTGGACAAGATCTGTAGTGTGGGTGTATGAAGATTAGATGGCAGATGCACAAGGCTGGAATTCTACTTTAAATGGTTTGTCTCTACCCTCTAACTGCCTCTTTTGCTGGACAGCTTGGTTTGTTAAAGAAAAATATCTTACAGTCTACACTCAGAGGCGCTGTATTACTCTTCTCATCCAAGCCTATAATAAGGCTTACCTGTAGGTACTGTAAATATGCCTTAAACGTGCATCGTTTAGGAGAGATCTACCTGTGTAGCCACTGGTGACTTCACCGGTGCATGCGCTTTGAAGGAATAGCATTACCCATTCTGTTCCTTCAGAGCCCTCTGCTGCAAACCGTGACCCCCCCCGCACAGATGCGCAGTAGTGATGTCATCGTGGCTCGGCCTATCAAGCAGCCGCAGCCAGCGAACCTGGAAGAAGGGGTGAAGATAGATTCCCTATCAGCGGTGACAGGGTGACGCTGGAGGCATCCATTTCACAGGTAAGTCTGTCATAATGTGCTAGTATGCGGTGCACACTAGTACACTATGACTTTACCCTGCAGGAGGACCAGTTTGTTTTTTTTCAGCTGGGTTTACTACTGCTTTACATAAAGAAGTCCTGTCAGGTGTATTAAAATGATTAGGTCCTGTCACTGCACTCATATACAATTAAATCAATTAATATTAATATGTATGTTCACAACACAATCATAGCTCTAAAGGGGCCATGAAGTGTTTTGTTGTTCTGTGTGTCAACATTCAGAAACATTTCACAAAACAATGTTCCAACTGCATCATCCAGAGTGAGAAGTATACCTGTTACTGGTTCCTAGTTAATGGATAGATGAAATATGACAAAACAAATGGCTGCATCAGCTGTCAAAGAGTGACAGGTTTAGTTGTCTATCATTGAAGTACATACTTATCCAGTTTCTGACGTTCAGGAAACTCTGTTCATTGGCTAAATCGAAAAGCAAAAGGAATCCCATTGCATCCCTGAAAAATGCGGTTGTTAAGCTGCGAAACCTGGAAAACAAGCAAAAGACAAAGTAAGGAACTCCTGAAATCCACAGTTTAGAAACTTACCAACTCTTTTATTTAAGGGCTTGTTCTCAAGAGATTTATCTCATTGGCTCCCCTGGTGTCAGTGATCCTGTGTTTATTCAGCTAATGAGCAGGGATCATGTGTGGATCCTGCACCCACCTGAGCAATCCCACCAGGAAGTAGTGATTGTAATGAACCAATCTTCTGCGGCTGGGGCACTCACTACACAGTAACTACTGAAGCTACAGACAGCCAAGAAACTAGCAGCGATGGTGGTCTACATATTTCTTTCAGTACAAGTTTCCTATACAGTGAACACAGATTTACGCTAACATAGAAGGTAAAGGATTGTTGCATTTGTAAGTTTATATGCCCTTTGTGATTTAAAGCGGAGCTCCACCCAAAAGGGGAAGTTCCGCTTTAAGGATTGCTCCCCCACTCCCCATTAAGGATTGGCACCTGGGGGGAGCGGGTACCCGAATTTGACAGGTACCCACTCCCACTTCCAGTCCGATCACCTAGGTCAGTGGTGGGCAACCTTTTTTTTCAACTGAGCCAAATCTCGCCAAAACCACGATTGAAATTTATTTTGAGAGCCACATTTTTAAAACTGAAAATACATAGGATGGTACACTGTTTTTAGTTTCAATAAGTTTTTATAGTAATTCATCCCACATATAGTAATTCATCCCCCATAGTAATTCATCCCCCATATAGTAATTCATCCCCCATATAGTAATTCATCCCCCATATAGTAATTCATCCCCCCTATAGTAATTCATCCCTCATAGTAATTCATCCCCCATAGTAATTCATCCCCCATATAGTAATTCATCCCCCATATAGTAATTCATCCCCCCATAGTAATTCATCCCCCATATAGTAATTCATCCCCCATATAGTAATTCATCCCCCATATAGTAATTCATCCCCCCTATAGTAATTCATCCCCCATATAGTAATTCATCCCCCATATAGTAATTCATCCCCCATATAGTAATTCATCCCCCATAGTAATTCATCCCCCATAGTAATTCATCCCCCATATAGTAATTCATCCCCCCTATAGTAATTCATCCCCCTATAGTAATTCATCCCCCATAGTAATTCATCCCCCTATAGTAATTCATCCCCCCTATAGTAATTCATCCCCCCTATAGTAATTCATCCCCCATATAGTAATTCATCCCCCATATAGTAATTCATCCCCCCTATAGTAATTTATCCCTCATAGTAATTCATCCCCCCTATAGTAATTCATCCCCCATATAGTAGTAGTGAGTAGCAAGTAGTAAGCCAAGTCCCCCCTGTGTCAATTCACTTACCTTTGCTCTGCGCGTTCCTCTCGCCGTGTTCCCGCGCCGTTCCGGTCTCCAGGGCGGACTGTGAGAGGAGCCTAGCTCCTCTCACGTTCGTCACGCTGCCCCGCCTACACACATCCTGACAGCCAATCACTGGCTATCAGGATGTGAGTGGCAGCGAGACTGGCCAATCATTGCATTTGAGCGCGCTGCCCTGGCTGTTTTTTTTTTGGATCACACTGCAGAGTCCCTGCCGCCCGAGAGGAGGGAGGGGAGCGGGCGCCCGGCACACGAGAGCCGCATTAAAGCGTGTAAAGAGCCGCATGTGGCTCGCGAGCCGCGGCTTGCCGACCACTGACCTAGGTGATCGGAAGCGGAAGGTGTCCTCCCCTCCCTGTAGTCTTTTGGGACACGTGACAGATCCCAGAAGACTACAGGACCATTCATGAAGTGCAGCGCTTCTCGCGCATGCGCAGTGGGTACCCGGCTGTGAAGCTGCAAGCTATAACAGCCGGGTGCCCACACTGAAGATGCCGGCCTCCTGGAATACAGGACGGCCGGTGAAATGAGCTGCGGGGGACACACCACAGGACCGAGGGACAGGTGTGTGGCTGTTTTATTTTTTGATAGGTCGAGTGGAACTCCGCTTTAAGTTGTGATATTCACTTTGGAGAGAGTAAGGGAGGGTTAAAATCCCTGTCAGATTTTTTTTTTTGCGCCCTGTGTTTCCCGTTTCGTAGATTTCCCTTCACTTCCTGTGCCTTAGCCAAACAGGAAGTGAGAGGAAATCCCTGCAAATTAAATTTAGGTTCACACATATGCAGTTTGCGTTTGATCCGTTTCTGCACTGCGTTGTGTTTTTGCACTTGCCTTTTTCACGTGTTTTGCTTTTTTTTTCTTGTTGCTAGGCAGATAAAAAATGCAAAACGCATCAAAAATGCATAACAAAACGAGGCAAAAACGCACTACATGCTTTTCTGCAGCGTTTCCATTGAAGTCTATAAAACCAAAAACATAACTTTTTGCATTCAAAATTCCCCGACCCTTTCCAAAAAACGCACCGGGGCGAAAACGCTGAGATGTGAACATGTTCTATAGGAAGTCATGTTAAATGGACTGTAGCGTGTTTCTGAAAAGCGGAAAACGCTTAGGTGTGAATCTAGGGTAAGAGAATTTCTTGGGGACCCCCAGGTCTCCAAAACTAGTGTCCTATTGGAAGACTTCCCCCTCTATTACTTTTCTGGGGACAACCCAAAATTTGGGATTTTCGTTTACTTTCACTTTTAATATAATGGTAATCAGGGCAAACAGAGAGGATGGCACACACAGCAATAGAAACTGACAGACATTCTAATCCCTCTCCACTCTGCCCAAAACTAAAAAAAAAGAAATTTGCCTTTAGTTATACTTTAAGTTATTTATTTTCAGCAGAAATAAAATATCAAATTCTTGAAAGGCCCTGTTGTAGATAACTGAAGAACAACAGTATGATTTTTTTTCCTGGAACAGGATACATTTACTATATGCTAAAAAAGGATGAGCATGCAGGGTCGGCCAATAATCATCAAATGTCCCAATGTATCTTAAAGCAGTTGTAAACCCTCACATATACCCAGTGAAGCGACTAGCCTCAGCCGATACACAAAGATTAAACAAATCCTACATAAGTTGCACCTGTTTATCTGCAAAACCTTCACCACTCTACAGCCCTCTAAAACACCCAGATCAAATGTTAATTCTCAGCTCCATAAGGCAGAGGGCAGGGATGTAATTTCACACACTGAATGGACTCATCTCCCTCTACACAGTCTCATAGGAAAACATGCATAGCTGGGGCTGTCAATCACCTCCTGTGTGCTGAGGGGGAATGGGGCTTTTTCTTAGCATTCTGTGGTTGCAGCCACTGATCACTGTATTCTGATAGTGATCAGTATGAATGGAGGTATCTCTATCATCTATGGCCAGCTTTAAAAAACAATAATAAGCACTCCTCAAATTGTGCTTTGTGGAATTTTCTGGCCTCTAAGCAGTTTTTATAGCTCAACATTTTACAATCTCTCGCAATGGAAAGCCAAAAAGAAGAGTTACACTAAAATATTTTACCAGTATCTTAACTGTAGTTTACATACAGATTATTACTTGGGCTGTAGCTCTTACTTAAAAGTAGAACTAAAGACAAAACATTCTTTTCATTTTGGATAGAGTAAAGGAGGGTTATAACCCCGGTCTGGTTTTTTGCCATCTGTGTTGGGGGGGAATCACTCTTCATTTCCTGTCCCATAGCCAAAACAGGAATTGAGAGGAAATCCCTCCAAAGTGAGGAAATTCCTGGTTGTCACCAGAGCTAGTAGCTAGTGTTTCGATATGAAGATTTCCCCTCTTTTTCCATTCTGGTGACAACCCAAAATTGTGGATTTTCCCAACAGATGCAAAGACAGCAATAAAAACCAACAGGTGGTTCTATCCCTCTCCACTCTATCCAAAGCTTAAAAAAAAAAAAAAAAAAAAAAAAAAAAAAAAGTTTTGTCTTTAGATATACAGTGGTACCTCGGTTTACGAATGCCTCAGTTAATGTAATTTGCGGTTTACGAATGAAAATCCATTGAAAATAATGCCTCGGTTTATTAATTGTTTACTAATGTTTTTCGCAATACAAGTGTATGTTGGTGCTGATTTTTAAATGCAATTGCAGGCTTTTTTTTTTTCTTCTTCACTATAGCTCACAGGATTAGCTGTCACTTTCCCCAGAGTTAAAGGAAATTTTGTTTCTTTTAAGAAACTAAAAGGAAACATTGTTTCTTTTAACTTGGGGAAATAAACTAAAAGAAAACTCTTTTTTAGCTGGGAGAAAGTGACAGCTGATTTCTGAGCTATAGTGAAGAAAAAAAAAGCGGTAATTACATTTAAAAAGCAGCACCATAATAAATTTTAAAAAACAGTGTGGGATCCCCCCCAAAAATCCATACCGGACCCTTATCCATGCATGAAGCCCAGGCAGGTCAGGAAAGTGGGGTAAGACACAAGCAAGCGCCCCTCCTGAACTATACCAGGCCACATGCCCTCAACATGGGGGGGGGGTGCTTTGGGGCAAGGGGGCTCCCCCCCAAAGCACCTTGTCCCCATGCTGATGGGGACAAGGGCCTCTTCCCCACAACCCTGGCCAATGATTGTGGGGGTCTGCAGGCAGGGGGATTATTGGAATCTGGAATCCCCCATATCCCAGCCCCCCATCCCCATGTGAATGAGTATGGGGTACATTTTCTTTTACATTTTGGTGCGGGAGTTCTCCTCAAAATGCATACCAGACCCGAAGGGCTTGGTATGGATGGGAGGGGGGACCCCATGATGTTATTTTAATTATATTTTTAATTGCCCGCAATTCTTTTACATTCAGCTGTCCGTGGGGAACCACGCTGATAGCTGAAGCTTTAAAAACACATAGTTGTCACTACTAAAATACCACATGACTTGATAAAATAACTCTTGCGGTATTTTACTAGGTTTTACTTTTTTCTGACCTCCAGAACGGATTAATTGGTTTTTAATACATTCCTATGGGAAACTGTGTTTCGGTTTACGAACGAATTTTTCGCTATACAAAACTTCCTGCAGAACGATTTCGTAAACTGAGGTATTACTATATTTTAGACATGTTGTATGTCTTCAGTGAAAAACAAATTGCTCATGCTACCAAATGTATGTTTTTTCAATTTGCTCCAGTTGTTGGCCTATGATTCTTCTTCTTTTTTTTTTTACAGCACCATTGTGTGATTTTTTTTTCAGTCATATTCTGTATTTTTCACAAGTTACACCATGTTTTTAATAATTCACCACAGAGACACTCTCTCCCTCTATAAGTGATTGTAAAGACAGATTTCTATTTTTTTTTTTTAAAACAACAAATATGATATACTACCCTGCTCTTTGCGATGGTTTTGAACAGAGCAGTCCTGATCCTTTTCTTCTCAAGTCCCCCGCCGAAACTCTTGGCTCCTCCCCCAAGCCAAGTGCCCTCATAGCAAGCTGAAGCTCGAACTCGCCTCCCACTCCCTCCTCACTGGCTCTGATTGACAGCAGCTGAAGCCAATGGCTCTTGCTGCTGTCTCTGAGCCAATGAGGAGGGGGAGAGACGCGAGAACCTCTGCTCTTGTGCACATCGCTGGATCGAGATGAGGCTCAGGTAAGCATTGGGGGCTGAGGGGGATTGAACTGCATGCAGAAAGTTTTTTTTTTTACCTTAATGCATAGAATGCACTAAGCAGTTGCCTGCTGCCTCATAGCAGATGCACTGCTACAGGGCAGCTTTGCTGTGCAAAAACAAGTAAATATACGTGATTTTACATTTCCATGTAGGTTGCGTGCTCCCCATCCCACCAGTGGTGCTATTGTGTCCTGAGGAGGTCAATCACCGAGTCCCGGCCGGCAATTCCTGGCCACGACTTGGTGATCGACGGCGAAGCTGAGAGGGGAGAGATCTGTGTGTAAACAATACATATCTCTCTCCTGTCAGCATGGATGTGCTGCTTTCTATCTCTTTGCACAGTAGAGAGATAGAAAGCAGCAGGTCTGCTTAGTAAAACAGCACTCAGTACACAATAAAAACACTCTCTAACACACAGGTAACACCTCAGATGTGAACTCCTTCCTGCCCTGTGTTATTAGTACAGTGTCAGTGCTTTTTATTAGCATTGATCACTGTATTAGTATCACTGGAGATGCCAGTGGCAGTTAGTCAGTTCCCACCCAGTGTCAGAATGCCCGCCGCAGTCGCTGAACGCCGCCATTACTAGTATAAAAAAATAAAAATTCCAGTATATATTCCACCATTTGTGGATGCTGTAACTCTCACGTAAACTAATTAATATACACTTATTGGATTTTTTTATTTAGCAAAGACATGTAGCAGAATACATTTTGGTCTAAATGTATGAAGGAATTTAAAAAAAAAACATTTTGTTCACAATTGCCAGTCTTTTTTTGATTATAGCGCAAAAAATAAAAACCGCAGAAGTGATCAAATACCACCAAAAAAAAGCACTATTTGTGGGGAAAAAAATGATATAAATGTGATCTTTGTTCAACATTGCATGACTGCGCAATTGTCAGTTAAAGTAACACAGAGCCGTATCGCAAAAAAATGGCCTGGTCAGGAAGGGGGGTAAATCCTCTGGGGAGCAAGTGGTTAAAGTAAGAAAAAAAATATTCTGCCTTTAAAACCACTTTAAAGACCAATGGAAAATATTGTTCAACCTAGAAGTCAACAGCGCCAACATTTTGATAATTTAAGGAATTTTAATGTGTTACTAATCACATAGAAGGAGCTAACTCGTCATAACACAGTTTGACAAAAGACTAATTGAAGCTCCAATGGTAACCTGGTAAATCATTCACTACTATTCACTGTAACTTAACCAAGTAAACACAATATTCCCATTCTAGCTTTAGAATGTGCTTTCCCTGGATATCCAGAGCACTTTCACTAAAAATTCAGAAACAACTTCCACCTTTGTTTTTCTCATTAACCACTTGCCCTCCGGAAGATTTTACCCACTTCATGACCAGAGCATCTCTTGCTATTCAGCACTCTTCTACTTTATCTGGCATCTGCTCGGTCATACAACACTGTACACAAATTAAATTTATATAATTTGTTTCTCACAAATAGAGCTTTCTTTTGGTGGTATTTAATCTCCACTGGGTTTATTTTTTTGCTATATAAAATGAAAAAATACCAAAAATTTTGGAAATATCTTATTTTTCTTATTTACGGTTATAAAATTTTGCAAATAAAACGTTCATCATAAATGTATGCCAATATATAGTCTGCTACATTTCTTTGGTAAAAATAACCCAAATCAGTGTATATTATGTAGTCTGTGTCAAAGTTATAGCATCTACTAACTAGGGTGTATATATAGATTTGAAAACTGATCAATTCTGATGGCCTATCTCATTTTTTGAGCCCCTAAAATGCCAGGACAGTATAAATACCTCCATAGTGACAACAGTACTACTCTTATTACTTTATATGCATGATCACTATATAATGATAGTTAGCTGTCATGCACGTTCATAGCTCACTGTAGAAATTTGGCAATGCGGAAACTGACTATACTCCTGCGCATGCGGGAGTGATGTCAGCCCCAGTCAGTCAATGAATGTGGCCAGTGATCAAGACCTGGAAACTGGCTACCCGAAGAGGTCAGTGGCTGGCAGGGAGCTCTGGGATGTCGCAAAGCTGGATTCAATGGGAGTATAGTTCCGATTTAATAATTATGCTACCAACGTTAGCTGTAAATTGCTTCCTGATTTTCTTTTCTCCCTCTATAATCTGTGTTCCCTCAGCACTCTTTGTGTCATTCCTTTTTACTTCTCCAACAACAGTTAAAGCTGTCAGCTGATCAGGCTATAGTGATTTTAGTGCCGAGAATAGAGAGCAACTAAGCATGTGCAGAGCAACTGGGGCCAGTCTGAAGTGACCAATCAGAATTTAATTTTCTAATAAATGTTTAACTTTAAACTCTGATGTGAAGGGGACTGTGAAGTTAGTATTTGGGAGGTGTCAGTGATGTGAAGGGGGGGGGGAGGGGGGGGACTGAAGACACTGATGTAAAGGTGGAAGGGGGGACTAAGGACACTGACACAGGGGAGAGGAGGCTTGCAATGTGGAAGGGGGGGGGGGGGGGGGATCTGATGACACTGATGTAAAAGAAAGGGAATGTGATGTACAGCGATAGGGACAGAGGACGGTGATGTAAAGGAGGGGGCAGTGATGTAAACGGGGGGGTGGGGGGGACGGGAGACTTGATGTGAAGGGGGAACTAGGGGGTAGTGAAGGGGGTAATGTAGAGGGGGTGTTGCAGTGTGAAGGTGGGTCTGAGAACATTGATGTAAAGGGGAAGGGACTGAGATGTGTAGGGGGGACTGATGTAAAGAGGGGAGGGAAACAAGGACGCAGATGTGCAGGGAGGACACTGATATAAATGGGGGGATTTGAAGTGGGGACTGAGAACACTGCTGTAATGGCACAAACATAATATTCATACCTTTGCTGGAAAAATGTTACTGGTTGGGCCTCTGTGAATTATATTTAAAGGAAAAGTATGGCCAAAGCCTTTTTGGCTAGATTTCTCTTCTGGATCACAGGAGTGCAGTTTGCTCTGCTCTCCTGTGACCCGTTTTCAGTCTGTCCTGGCCAGGGAGAGATCCCCACTTAACATTTGGGATCCACCCAAATACCTGAACTGGCTTCTGGCTCAGTCTCTCAGCATGCCGCCAGGAGCCTGAGCCAGCCCCTCTCGCCCCCGGTGTGAGCGCTGGAGGGGCACAGCAGAGAGCCGTTGACCGACAGACACAGCTCTCTGCTCAGACCAGAGGGGGAGAACTGAGTGAGCAGCGGTGTTTGATCACTCAGTGCTTGCGGTCTAGCCAACAGGGGACATCTGCAGCTGGGATTGGTGCTGAAGCCATCTAGGCGAGTATGATTTGTAATTTTTCTGCATCCCTAAACTTCTCTTTTAATACCCCTGCTAGGTTGGGAGGAGAAAGAAACTTACCATTCGAAATGTACATGGTGGGGTAATGGTGCGCTCTTCGTTTCCGCCTGGAAAATATTCTCTGCAGCATTATACAGTGTATCAGAGGAATAGATGCATAGAAGTCAGGTGCAGTGTTGAGTTATTCCCATGATATGCTATAGTTTGCATTGCAGAAACAACGTAAACAGGTCCCAAAACAAATTTTATTTTAATTTTTCACCCAGTACTACAAGGAGGTCCAAAATTACTTGCTTTGCAGACCTAATGAAATCAAATTAGTGGCACAGTAATGCATCACCATTGTGTTTACTAAACAAAAGTTGAATACTGTGTAGTCTCAAATTCTGTATCATATTCCATATTGAAAATGTTCCTCTTTTCCTCCGACAGTAGCCATCCTCTATAGCTCCAGTGCCCAACCTGTGGCTCTCTGGTGCTTGCAGTGTGACCCTCAGGCTCGAACAGTAAGAGCAATGATTTGGAAAAGGGCTTCTAGCATTCTCATGTAACTTGCCCCTGGTCTCCAGTCTCTAATCACTTCTGTAGCAAAGCCTATGACCATTTCTTCTTGTAAAACTTCAGACTGTCTCCTGTAGCAATACATATAATGCCTATAGTAAGCAGTTCTTTGGTGATGTCAGGACACACGCAAGGCCATTTATACCTTGTAAGTTGACCATCACTGCTGTATAGTGGTGGACATAGAACAGAACACGGCTTTTGAGGAAGAGAAGACCCATTACAGGGTACCAAGGTTATCTCTTTTGCATAAGACAAGCAAATCTTTGGTGTCTACCTTTAAAAAGTAATAATACTGTGGTTTACAAATTATTGTTCTAGCTGTCTGGAGATGCCAAGTTTTGTATAAAATGAATTTTATGACAGATTAAAAGCTACATTCTCTGGGTGTCATAGCAGTCAAAAGACCCCACTATAGCTGTTGTTATGCCCTGTCTACATTGTGTTCTGACATTGCTCACCTTTCTTGGCCAGCTGTGTCCCAAAGTTGCAAGTGAACCCTTTGACTTCTTCCCGCTACACCATCAGGACCATTAGTTCGATATGGCTGTGGAAAGATGATCATTAACCATGACAAGCAAGAAAGCTTTCAGCAATTGAAATAACAGATAACATGGGAAATTTAGCGTATGACATGCATAACTGAAAAAAAAAAAACTTGCGATGTAACTGTCCTGACAAAGTTCTGTCGGCGTATATTCATGCCAAACACTGCAATGTCAGTACAAGCACAGCAATGAAAGCAGCCAAGAGGCAGATCTTTACAGCATGGCTTTGTACACATGTATTTCACAAAAAAGACAAATTATACATAATTAACGAAAAATTTAATTTATTTCAAGGAAAGTTTTTCTTGCATCAAGAATAGTTTAAAAGTAGACAAAGCAAAATGTATTTCCAGGCACACTTACCAGCTAGCCAGCAGAAAACAGAACAAAAAAACAAAAAAAAACAAAAAACAAATTACACTTTCTAACAATCTGCATTTAAAAAGCCTTGTCAAGGACCCTTCTGTAAAGTGCAGACCGAATTCTAATCTCTGAGCACCTTCATGTTGGAGCATATATCAATGGATACGTTAAGGGCAGGTATGCCTGGAGGCAGTTCATTTCTCCTTAACCACTTCCTGTCCGGACACTTTCACCCCCTTCCTGTCCAGGGCAATGTTCAGCTTTCAGCGCTATCACACTTTGAATGACAATTGCACGGTCATGCAACACTGTACCCATATTAATTTTTTACCATTGTTTTGAGACAGATAAAGCTTTATTTTGGTGGTATTTATTCACTGCTGAGATTTTTATTTTTTTTGCTATGTAAATGAAAAAGTCCAAAAATTTTGAAAGAAAAGTGTTTTTCTTATAAAATTTTGCAAATAAATAATATTTCATCATAAATCTTGGCCAAAATTTATTTCGTTATCTTTTTAGTAAAAAAATAAAAAAAAATAAGCCAAATTAGTTTATAACCAAAAATTATAATTTTTAAACTTTTTTTTACATTTTTATTTTATTTTTTTATATTATTTTTTTGTTTGTTTTTTTTTTACATACTGTCACCCTAGCAGTACAGTGTCACCATGGTGGGGGGTGATGAAGATTTTTTTTTTTTTTTTTACACGGATTGCTTTTACACCCATATAGGATGTAAAAGCAATCATTTCTCTTTCTCTCTGTCTGCATTCTTGCAGCCATTGAGAACTACTGAGTAAGCTGTGATTGGTCACAGCTTGTCACATGGTACAAGGCTGTTGTGAATAGCCTTGTACCATGTGACTTCTGTGATCATTCAGAGATTTCACACGTAGTAAGCAATGATGTCACAAGTGACATCTTGCTTACTACTTTGCATGTGATCACTGATTGGTCAATCAGTGATCACATGATCGGGACCTCGTACAGAGGTCCCGTCCGACGATCGGTGTTTCACTGTGTCTGGAAGACACAGCGGGCACCGGATCGCGGTGCTGCCTGCTCCCAGGGTGCGGGGAGGCCGTTTATAAATGGCCACCCGACCCTGCAGTGCCACTGTCAGGCCGTTTATATACAACGGCCGGGCGGGAGGTGGTTAAAGTGGAACTCTAGGCTCCCCCCCAAAAGTCAGCAGCTACAAATACTGTAGCTGCTAAAGGACACTTACCTGTCCAGGGATCCAGTGATGACCTCATCTGAGCCAATTGTTCAATCAACTTTGCGTGCTGGCACCGGTATCTTACATTAGGGAACCCTTGCAGCTTCACATCCGGCTCCCCACTGCACTGTGCTTTGTGAATAGGACACAATCTTCTGGGATCTGTGAAGTGTCCCAAAAGGTTGTGGATGTTGGGGGGCGCGGACATTCGGCTCAGATTGTCGTGGCGATCTGATCCGGAAGTGGGAGCGGGCACCAGTCAAAATCAGGTACCCACTCCTCCCTCTCCCCCAAAAAGTGCCAAATGTGGCAGTGGAGGTGGGGGATAGGCAGACAAGCGGACCTTCCCCTTTGGGTGCACTTCCGCTTTAAAGCAGTTCTAAAGCCTAAATATTTTTTACCTTAATGCTTTTCAGGTAAAAAATGTTTAGGTAGCTGAATGCCCCCTCACAACCCCCCTACCCTTATACTTAGCTGAGCCTCTCACTCAATCCAGCGCTGTGCCCATCTATAGCGGCTCTCTCCCTTCTCCTCGCTCTCACAGGCTTGGCTGAGAGCAACAGGAACCATTTGCTCCCAATGCTGTCAGTCAAATCCTGTGACAAAGGGGCAGGACTTAGCCTCACTGTCTCTGTCTATGAACGAAGGCAGTACAGCTTGGGATCTAGCCCACAAGTGTACCACAATAGCAAGAGGTTTCCTATGGTGGCACACCAAGCTGAGGAGCAGTCAGGCGTGCTGGCAGGGGACCTGACAACAGCAGGTTTGGGGCAGCTCTGTGCAAATCCATTGCAAAGAGCAGGTAAGTGTTGAAAAAAAAAAAAAAAAGCTTGCTCAGATGTTTACACAAATGCGTCAGGGGGCATAAAAGCAGGTGGTCGAGCCACGGTTTTATCATTCCCCCAAACATCTAAACACAGAAACGCAATCGCTCAGAACTGAACATGCAGCAGCGATGTTTTGCAACACAATAGCTCAACTTCTGAACAAGCCCTGAATGCACAGGAACAATGACAGCTGAAGACCTATATACATGACGTGGCAGTGTAACTTACCATACATTTGCAAAGGTTGTGTAACTTTAATGCAAACCATTGGCCTGTATAATTTGTATGCATTTTTTTTTTTGCTGGCTGGTAAGTGGCTGAAAAATGCATTTTGTTTTTCTAAAAGCTAGATATAAATTGGGGTGGTTGTGATGTTTAGTTTAAAAGCAGAAAGCCATCCAATTGTCTCTAATGTGGATACAGAAGGCAATTAAAGAACTTTCTTAACTAGAATGACAAAGGGTTGGAACATCTGGCCAGTTTTTGTTACAGTCTGCCTCCCCATTACTTCATTTTGTGTCATCAGGATAGGATGTGTTGGGAACATACCCAATGTGACAAAAAATTTTATTAAAAGCTAACCTACTGCTAATGTTTTTCTGTGAGCAAGATGAAACTATATTTCTTGTTCTGCACAGGAATTTAAAAATTGACATTTATATAGGATGCTGTTCAGCCTATTGCTTTAGGTTGTCAACGATTACAGGCCGAGGGATACTATAGACACTGAGAAGCAATCTTCTGTGAGAAAACTGGACAGAAAACTAGGAGTTTGCTGAAAGATATTGCTCCTCCTAATATTGCATTCAGTTCTTTAGTTTGTAATAATAGGTTTATATACACAGTAACTTGTGATGCAGATTTAGTAGTCTTAAGGAGGATATACACCGATCAGACATAAAATTATGACCACTAACAGATACAATGGATAACATAGATCATCCTGTTACAATAGCACCTAAAAGTAGATGGGAGATAATAGGCAGCAAGTGAACATGTTATTCTTGAAGTTGACGTGTTGAAAGCAGCAAAAGTAGGCAAGCTTAAGAAATTGACTGACTTTGTCAAGGGCCAAATTGTAATGGTTAGACAACGATCAGAACTCCCCAAGTGTAGCTCTTCTGGGATGTTCCTGGTCTGTATTGGTCAGGATCTAACAAAAGTGGTGCAAGGAAAGAAAACCAGTGAACCAGGGACAGGGTCATGGGCAGCCAAGGCTCACTGATGCACATGGGGAGTGAAGGCTGGCCCATGTACTCTGATCCAGTAGAAGAGCTACTGTAGCTTAAATTGCTGCAAAAGTTAATGCTGGTTCTGATAGAAAGACAGTGCATCGCAGTTTGTTTTGTATAAGACTGCATAGCTGCAGACATATCAGGGTGCCCATGCTAACCCTTGCTCACAACCAAAGGCGCCTACAATGGGCAAGTGAGAATCAAAACTGGACCACGGAGCAATGGAAGAAGGTGGCCTGGTCTGATGAATTCATGAATGGTTTGAGGAACACAACAGAGTCTGAGATATTGACTTGGCCTCTCAGTCCAATCAAGCATCTGTTGGATGTGCTGGAAAAGCAAGTCCAATCCCTGGAGGCCCCACCTCGCAACTTACAGGACTTCAAGGTTCTGCTACTGACGGCTTGGTGCCAGATACCACAGCATGCCTTCAGTGGTTAAATGGAGTCCATGCTTCAACAGGTTTTGGTGGGTGGTCATAATGTTATGGCTGATCTGATTTGCATAGACAACTGAGGGTTTAATAGTAACATAGTATGACAGAACAAAAATGTCAAATATTTGTACTGATTTGTAATAAAATCTTAGTGGCCTCTAGTGACCACAGATGACAAAGCTGTCACAGGATGAAGATCAAATGGGTCATATGGAATAGTTCCAGTGTAATTTCAGTCAAGGAATAAAAGCAGTCTGTGACTTGCTAATGTTAAACAGCAAAAACACATCTTTGCTAAAGCCTGAACATTGCTTAATTTAGCCTAAAAATAGCAGGGCAACACTGACAAACATATAGCAAGCACATGAATGCGCCTCCTATCTCAATAACTCTGTCCAACCCTGCACCATGGAACCAGCACAAAAAAAATGATTAATTAAAACTTTTCCTAACTATAGGGGACATGTGCACATACCTTTATCCCACCACCAAAGTGTTCGGCACCTAAGAGACTTATTGGGAGGGAGGGGGAACACCTAGCCATATGCAAATGCAGTGTTGGAATGCAGGCCTTGGGAGAATTGTTAAAGTTAAAATAAACCCAAAAATGGGATATTTGAATGTACTGAAAAATTTGCTTCTTGAGAGTTCATTGAGGGAGACAGAAATTCAGAGAATGCAGTGTTTTACTGCCACTTATTGGAAGATTTGGATACTGGCAAAACACACAAACAAAAAAACTGTAGCCAGCCTGATATATTCACTACTACTTCCAGCATGCCTTTGTTTTGTGAAAAATCATTACCAAGAGCACAATCAGACATGGAGGGGTAGGACCTGTGTTTTTAAATAAATCCCAAGAAATTAAATTTACAAAGAGTACAAAAATTCAATTTTCTTTCTTGTTCTTTAAGGGTCAGATATTGGCACTGTGAATTTCTGCGTCCTTCAATGGTACTTGAGGCCAAATGCTTTTCTAGGCCCATATAACAGAAAAGACAGGATGTTTCCTTAGTAGAGTAGCAAGGGGTGACCTGGCCACCAAGCAAAGTTTGCTTAGCCTTGATCATCAAAGGAATTACTTATTCAGGGACAATCCCTGTCCCTCAGAACCTGGGCTTCAACAATCAAGAGCCTGAGCCTGGGAAAGGAGAGGTTAAAGTTTCTTCTGGGAAGAAAAACTCTGGCTTGAGTTGTGTCTAAAATAAGATCCAGATATTCAAAGCAATGAGTAGCTTTGAATATCTGGGCTTTAAGAAGGCTCAGGACTCAGTCAATATGGATGAATTGAGCTACATTCCCAGCCAGAACATGTGACAACTGATCCCACAACAGGAGGTTATCCAGATATACCACAATGGCAGGGCCAGCGCACGTCCTTGATGAACACGCAACGTGCAGAAGATAGGCCGAAATGGCAGGGGTACAAACTGTAAGTGCTATGTACCCACAGCACAATGTAGGAATCACTGATGCATTAGGAAAAATCCTCACTATCAGAGCAGCGGGGTCTAGGTACAACCCCCAAAGCTACTTCAGAAGAAATAGCAATCCAGATAGCTGTGTATAGAGACCAACACATGTAGCTTGCAGGGAAACCTTGTTTGAAGAAAAAAAGCTAGCAAAAAAGGTTAGACTTTTCTCAGTTTAATGAAGACTCCTATCCTGGACAATGGCAAATTGAAAAAAAACATGGCCAGCCTGGTATAACCCTTTAAGTCTCCTACCCTGCTTTAGTTTTTTGATAGTGTCCAGTGTAGGTGGCACTATAGCCCAGTAGTGTCTGAATTCCTGTGCCCCTCAATGAAGGAGAAAGAAATCATTTGCCCAAGCAACTTTGGAGATCCTTCCAGTATTATTGTCATCAGGCTTCCAGTGTAAAGCCCCGTACACATTAGCCAAATATCAGCAGAAATCAGCTGGTACAGTAGAAACCAGCTGACATTTGGCCTGTATGTACATGTCCTTGTCTGACAGAAGCCGATCTCACGACTGGCTTCTGTCAAACAAGCATACTGGAAAACCAGCAGCCAAATCGGAATCCGATCTGTGCTCTCTACCAATGGCTGCAAGTGTGGACCGGTGTGTTCTGGTAGGGGGGGGGGGCTGTCCTCATCTCAGAACACAATAGCACACAGGGGAGATAACTGTACTAACATTACATAGTTCATACAGGAACTACCTCAGTTTTTTTTTTGTTGAACAAAAATAATACCAGGCATTACATTTCTGTGATTAGGAGCAGCGTTCCATCCACACTTCTTTAAATGGATGGGATGCCTATCAGGTTTGCAGAAGGCATGCACAACCCAGTGAAAAACTAAAGGAGTGCATATGAGAAGTTGACAACCCTGCAGCTAATTACAAGGCGTTGGCCTGCAACCACATGGTTATTGGCAGATCTCCAGGTATGAATTTTTACAACAGATTCGCAATAAAAAATACAGATTAACATTAAAGAGCAATTCCAAGTAACAAATAAAACCAATTTGTGAGCTAATAATGCTTTCAAGCAGACGTTACAAGCAGAAATTAGACTGGTCACCTAATTTACCTTCAACTGAGTAATCTACTATAGGCAGAATCTAATACATCAGGTTTTCTGAATGCTCTTGAAAATTCTTCTCCTGCATTATTGTCAGGTTTAAAAATTAAAAAAAAAAAAAAAAGATCTTTTTCCCTGTTAGAGCACTGATTTCTCCAATTTTATAATTCTTCTATGTGCAATTGATAGCCACTGTGTGGGCGTGATTTGTTGCTCCTGTGTTAATTGTTATGAATTAATAAAAACCATTGAAATACAAAAATTAAAAAAGAGAAAAAAAAAACCCAAAACAACAGGTTGGTGGGTAAAAAAAAAAAAAAAAAAAAAAAAGAATTTGGAAGAGAATGGGATAGACAGAGGAAAGCCTAGATGAAAAACAAATCCTGAGCAGATATTATCCTATTCTGCAGCTCAAGGTTACATTTCAGGGGAGTGTACTATTCATTGTATGTATCAGTCACATAGAAGTATTGTTTTTTTGTAAAAATAAAACAAACTCAACCAATAACTATGTGAGATTCAAAGTAATGACATTCCATGAACACCTGTTATGCAGCAACAAAAATGTGCATTTTCCTGTTTCAGTAGAGAAAATCTATGGTTCAACAAGCTGAATGACAGTTTTTCAGTACATTTTGCTATGAAAAGGAAAACAAAGGAAAGGAAGATAATGAAAGTATTGAGTTCAAAGATTGTCCGTTTAAAAAAAAATATGATCTATTGTATACAGAATATAAAATGGAAAAAAGGGAAAGGAAAAAGAACATTCTTAGGTTGGCCATACACTGATGGATATTCTCCTTCACCCTAGTGGAGGGGGGGGGGGGGGGACAGATTCCTCCATCCACACTGTACAGGAAGGATGGATGCATTTCCCTGCTGGGCTATTGTATTCGGCCAGCCAGTGACAGAGGTTGTTCTAATACCCTCATCTGATACAGCTGCTGTTCAGCTGATATTTTCTACCTGGCTCCCTCGATCTTTCAACTAAAGAATCTCAGGAGGGAGGGGGCCGCCAGGGCCACTGAAAAAGCAAGTTTAAGGATGGTTGATCAGGAAGAGGCCACAGTTGAGCTTTAGGCTCAAATTGTACCCTAAGGAGTGCCATAGGTGCTTTATTTTTCTAATCATCCAGAGAGCTGAAGAGATGGATTGATTCCTCCATTTTCACATGTGGAGATGGAATCCTACACACTGTGCCACTGTATTCAGACAGTGGGACTCCTCCACTGTTAAAATACACCAATCAGCGGCTGCAGACACTGATCGGCAAAAAGTTTTCTAACTGTCCCACTGAACAGAACTTCTGTCAAGTGGGAATGGCCATAGAAGGATTGATATTCAGTCAGTACATGCTGAACTGCCCGAATTTCAATCCATGTATGACCAGCTTTAGATAGGTTGGATAATCTTATTTGCTAACCTGACTTGCTATCCTTTATGTACAAACCTTATTTACCAAGCCACTGAAATTAGCAGCAATCACCAATAGACATCATTAGGATTACCCTCATCTTATCAGTTCACTACATTCAAAGTAATAAAAGACTCACGTATTGGAAGCTACAGGATACAATAATGAAGGACTTGCCAAATTCAATATCCATATCAAGTAAACCTGTATGACTGGTCGTGCACAGGAAAACGGTTACCCTGTGCCACAATTATTTACCTAGTAAATTCAGGCTTTTTTAAAGCAACTTCTCAAGAATGTTCCCATCAGGAAGGAATTGTGAAACCAAACCAGTGACTGCATGTGGTATCTGTCTACTCTTCCAATGAAATGAGGTGTGCTTTCAGTTACTCCATATTTACCCAGAAACGTTCTAGTGCTATACTCATAAAGGACTGGGGAGTAGTTCCACATTATTATGATTACCAGTACTCTAAACTCTTATAACATAATCATCCTTGTGATTATGTGCACAAAGACATCCCTGGCTAACTGTTCTTGTAGATCAGTCATGTTGGTGTTGGTGAAAAAAGATGGCATGAGATTCAGAACTGACACATCTTGTGGATGGCCAATGCCCTTTATTTTGCTGATGCATTATGAAAACAAAAACAATTACTGGGTGTCAGACTGCTGCTCCCACTCTCCTGAAAATAAGCATGTTCACATAGGCCAATTTGAGTTAAACATATTAATGCAGCCTTTCTCAACCAGAGTTCTGTAGAACCCCAGGGTTCCTCCAGAGGTTAGCCCTAGGGTTCCGCTGACACCAATGACCTTTTTAGCAATTTGTATATTTGTAATTGGTTCTTCTCATTGACAAGTGTAAGAAGCATGCTTTCCACGGACCATCACACTAATATACGGTGAGCTATAGATATAATGATTATTAGCATGGGTTTCTTGAGACTAGAAAGTTATTTCTCAGGTTCCTCCTTATTTAAAATGTTTGAAAAAGGCTGTATTAAAGTTCCATTCCCACTTGTGCAACTCCAACGTTGCACAATGAAATCGCGCTACTTTGGAGTGCTACTTTTATCTAACTTTACACTCTCTGGCCCTAAGTCGTATTAAAGTAGTGCAAACACCTTTTCGGAATCACTGTGACTAAGATCTGAATGGGCTGCAACTTATGTGACTTGTCATGTCCTAAGTCACATGACAAACCGCATAAGTGTGAAGGGAGCCTTAATGATACAAATGAATGGCAGATCATGACTGTTTCATTTAAAATTTACAGATAGTGTGCCAAAGAATTAAATATTAAACTGTCAATACCACTTGCATTTGGGGGAAATGCTGTACGTAAAAGTATCTGCTGCTTAGCCCTAGAATCCCTAGATAGTCTCTCATTACCATCTGTCAACAACAAAACAACTTACCACTCTTTTTTCCCGGAAGTCGATGCCAACTGTTGTGATGAACTTGGAATTGAACTTTCCATCTGTATATTGGTAGAGGAAGCTGGTTTTTCCAACGCCAGAGTCTCCCAATGCTAAGAATTTGATGAGGTAGTCATAGTCCCCATCAAACATTGTGAAATTTGGTTGGTGACCTGAAAAACAAAGGCAGAAGAGTGAATGGGGTATTGGGAACAGTTCAACATAATACAGCTCCATCAAAATTAGGGATAAGCCCAGGAATGTTTGGATACGAGTCAGAACCCACCTGAGACATCCAGCCAGAAAGCTGTCAAAGCAGACAGCAAATACTAGGCAGCGGAGGCATCTCAGCCATGCGTATACATGGAGTGTGTATACATGGGCTTACAAGGCAGGGAATCTGCCTGAGCCTATTCTTGAAATCGTCACAGGTAAACTGGCCAGTGCGGCCACAAAGATGGACCATCAACTAGATAAGAGTCCTTACGTTTATGTGCTTGTCCACCAACAAACAGCCATAAAGTTCTTCTGCAATAATGTATAAACATGGGAGAATGTGTTGGAATGGCTGTTCCAAAGAGATAATCTGTAGCATCTGCTGTATAGATTTGCCAGTATGCTGGAACATTTCTGTGCAGGCCACTTAGTAATAGAATGAGAATCTTGTTTTAAGCAGTTTTCCATTTGTTGCCTTTGCAAGACGAAAAAAGTTAGTTCTCTGATCTCTTAAAGCATCAGAAGTTGGTAACTTTTATATGAAGTTCTCCAGGTAAGAAACTATTACAGTTAGGACAAGAGTCACATTGACAAATCAATTTAAAACTACTTACGACATATTACTCTGCCAGACTATGGAATATGTTTAAGAATGTTAGAGAAGGCTGGCTCTTCTGAAAGTACATGTGTTATTATTCAGTCCTGTTTTCAAGTAGCTTATATGGAAAAATTATCATGGGGATCACCAGACTGCAAAAGTAGCTTGAAGACCGACTTGGTAAAACATTCAAACTTGATTAAATAACTGATTGTGTAGTAAAGGATTTTGGGCAATTTGAAGGAAACCTTTCACAAATATCAGTCTGTACAACCTCCAATGGAGGTAGCCAACACTTCTGACTTAGAGGCAGCAGGCCAGTTACATCATCTGCAGTAAAAATAAAGATTAAAGTATATCAGGCATCACTAAATAGTGGACCGCGGTCCGCAAACGGACCGAATGACAGTCCTATACGGCCCGCTACTCACTACTTAGCGTCCTGGATGTCCTCTGCCAGCTGAAACACACCTACCCTTGCCCCCCCTAAAGCCACTGCTACAGTAATTATCCTTATAGCAAGTAGAAGGCACGGCATGTCCAGCCAGAGGGCGGGAGCTACCCAGTTTTTCAAGTTAACAAGCCGGTGATTGGTTGTTAGGCATTCCTAGCAACCAATCACCTGTCTGTTAACATGAAAAGCATGTCCCACATGTCCCACCCTCTGTCCAGGCATGCCACGCCTTCTGCATTCTACCTGCTGTGTAAGTTAGGAACAAAAAGGTTAGAGGAGGGTTGTGATTGGCAGGGGGTAATGAAGGGGGGGGGGGGGGTATTCATATAAAGGAGATTGGGCTGCAAGGAAGGAAGGGGGCCATGAAGGGGACCAGTATACAAAAAAGGGGGGCTGTATAGGAGACTGGGGTACAAAAAAGGAGGGATGTAAAGGGTACTGGGGTGCAAGGAAGGGGGGAATGTGAAGAGAACTGAGATGCAAGTAAGAGGGAGGCTGTAAAGGGAACTGAGGTGCAAAAAAAGGGGGGCTGTGAAGGGGACTGGGATACAAGGAAGGGGGGCTGTGAAGGGACTGGGATACAAGGAGGGGGGCTGTGATGTGAAGGAGTGACAGAGGACACTGATGTGAAGGAGCGGGGGACTTTGATGTGAGGTGGGGGCTGAGGATACTGATATAAAAGGTGGGGGTCTGTAATGTAAGAAGGGCGGGCTGTGATGTGGAGGGAGGACACAGGTCATATAGGTAAAGTAGGCGCTGTGATGTAAAATGGAGGAATTTGGATGTTAAGGGGGCTGTGATGTAAAGCAGGCACTGTAATGTAAAGAAGGGGCTGCATTGTAAAGGGGGGTGCTGTGAGGTAAAGAGGGGGTTCTGCAATGTAAAAGGGGGCGCTGTGGTATAAAGGGGGGACTGTGAAGTGAAGAGGGATGTGATGTAAAGGGGAAACTGTAGTGTAAAGGGGAGGAGCTGTGAAATGAAGAAACCGAGTCATGGCACAGACACGAGACTCGGACCTCTGCTGGATGAAAATATTAATGACCGGACCTCCGTGAATTTTAATTCAATATCCCTGAAGTATATCTTCCAAATGAATATCTGTTCAGGTAAGGGGGGGAGGCTGGGATGTATTAGCACAAGCCTGATTACGGATTAGCACCCAGCACAGCCAGAAAAATGACCATGTCGTGCTCTCGCTATGCCTAGTATGGTCAGTTTTTAATAGAAAAGCAGAGGGACTGGCAGGAACACCAGAGATTTCACACAAAAGAAGCAATAAAAAGAGTGAGCCGGATACTTTTTCATACAAGTGCATGGTACAGCCGGTACATATCAGGAATATAAAATGTGGATTTACATATTCTTTAATCTGAGTTAGCATCAGAAAGACTATAGGAGATGAAGTTAAAGTGAAGCTAAACCAAAAAAAATAAATATTGTGAGCAGACAGCTTTATTGCAGAAGAGACATAGTATGTGTGTTCTGCAATAAGACACACCCGCTCATAATCCTCCAGTGTATGTATGCTGAGCTGCGCATATGAAGCTCAACATGCATTCCCAGCACACTCCCGCTGTGCCAGAATGACTGACTCCCATGTGCATGCGAGCAATCACATCATGTCCCACCTGCTATTCAAGAGGCTAAAAACCAGGTTCCTCCAAGTAGCCAGGGAGAAAATGACAGCAGCCGGCAGGGAAAGTCATTGTTGCTTCGCTGGAAGGTGGAGGTGAGTATTTTGCGAACTTTAGTTCTGCTAAAGGGAAAAAAAAAAAACTAAAAAGGAAAAAAAGAGTTTCTCCATTTCCCACTCTAAGATAAAAACAATGGCTTTAAATATACTTTCAAGCTCAACTCTGGGCAAACTGCTAAATACACAGAAAAAAAAACACATATGGGAAGCGGTTTTACCTGCCCAACCAGTGAGATTTACTTAGCTGTGCTTCACAGCACAGTTCTCTCTAGCATGGGAGGGGACTTGCTTTCTCTATAGTAATTTCATATTTTTCCTACAGGTTTCCTTCTCGCTCCCAACCCTGTAACTGGACAGTGAAAGGAGAAGCAGCACACCAATGAGATCATCTCTCTGCTACTCTGTTCCCTCCTTCTATCAGCATGCTTCTTACACTGCTGTACAACATATTGCTACTTTTTGCTGGTTTTGCCTTCCCCTCTCTAAGGTCTGCTATGTAGGGATGCAAAAGGTTGATACCAGGTATAATTAAGGTTCCCACACTGTCTGCATATAAAAAAACATTTATTAGTGTATAAGAGCTGCAATTTTTTTTGCCTTCAATGTCTGCCTGGAGTTCAGAATCATTTTCCTCCAAGAAGCAAACCTGTACTGAGAGAAATACAAAGGCTGCCATTGGTGACCTCCTTGGGAGAATACTGGATGTCCATTAAGAAATGGCCTACCTGAAACAAGCAGAGAATCAAAAACCAACATTTGCATACATATTTCAGGTCAATTTATCAAAAAGAACTGAAGCAGCAGGAAGACTAGCCAGACAAGTAGTATTTCTAGGAATCATCAATAGTACTGTTCCATTTCCTAAATACAAGCTTCCTTTAAAGAATAAAGTTGGCTACACACAACTTGAATTCCATCAGATTTCTACTAAATCGGCCAGAAAATTGAGCCTTAGATGGTCTGGTCACTAAATATTTGGTTCGGCAAAATTTGACTGAAAAAACATCAAAGAAGCTTGGTGGAAAGTTTCAACTGAACAGTGATGGCATCCTACCAGATGCAGCCAGTGTTCAGGTATTTGGACAGCTGTGGGTGGCCAGTGGTCTGAACACAATAGCCACCAGTGGAGATTTCTCAATCCACATGGTTTAACAAGGGTGAAGGACACTATTAGATTTCTTTATGTGTGCATGTCAAATATTAGGTAACTGCACCAGATATACTCTTACTCAGGTTTCCAAAAGCTTGCCATGCACTGCTAAAATTTAACCGTTTGGCCAAAATCCTAACAGTGACCCTTTCAGCTATTCAAAAGTCGATTACTCAAATTGACTTTTGTCGTAGAAGCTGGGCTAAAAATTGTCCACTGAACGGTGCCTGCTGCCAATTAACTATTCAGATATTCTGACACCCGGTGTTAGTAGCTGTCAGAATACAGTAGCCAGTGTCCATTCACGCTATTTGTATGGATGGAGGTATCTGTTAGATTTCTTTGGTTCAGCCCGCAGATCGAACAAAAAATACATACGTGTACAGCCTGCTTATTTTCTTTCCACAGGCAGTTTTATAGCTTTCCCTGTGTCTTCCCTGACATTTAGACAAAGCCTAATAAAAAGTAGGAGCTCTCAACCATAGTATGTTAGGGATTTGTAAGATTTATGCAATAATTAATATCTACAGATCAAAATGGAGAGACAGCAAAATATATTCAAGCTAGATTACAGGGATTTGCAACTGCTTATACTAGAAATACCCTGCATTTTGTTACATTTTATCTATAAAAAAAAATACAGTTATATTATGATACCATTACTCTTCTCTCCTACTAAAAATGCCAAAAGCCTCATTCACGCAGGCATTCCTAAGCATACGCCCACACAAGGACCAGTTTTGCATAAATGGGATTCACAGGTGTTCTATGTATCTGAATGCCAACAGTCCCACTCATCAATTGGAATGCAGCGGCTGCACGGACACAGCTGCTGCTCCCAACTTGACAAACATGTGGATGCGTGCCCCCAAATGCAAACAGTGTGAGTTTGGGGATACGCAATCGCATGGATGTCAAATTGGGAGCATAGACTGTCTGTGCAGCTGCTGCATCCCAATGGACATGAATAGGGCTGTCTGCATGCGGATGCACAGAACACACCTGTCATCCCCCATTCAGGCAAACATGGCTATTGCACAGA